TTAGTTGCTACTTGAAATCAATGTTGAGCAGTGACAAAATACTTTTCAACTGCTATCAATAAAATTTAGAGAATTTTGAGGTACTTGTACTTGAGTGTTTGCTTTTAATGATGCTTTATACTTACACCCCACTACATCTCAGAGGGAAACATTATATTTTTTATTCCACTACATTTATTTGTTTGCTTAAGTTAACTTAGATTAATAATACAAAATACAATCAACTAAAAAAATGATCATGTATAATGTATGTATGTATATTTTTTATTGTTTGTGTATTTGCAGATCTGTTTTTGAGTCTACAAATATTTTTTTGTATTTGTGTAAGGTGTTTATTTACAAATTACACACTAACACTCGGACTGTTGATCTGTTCACACAAATAATATTGAGACAAAACTATCTCCATAAATAATAGACACAAGGTAACCTTTAAAAGATACACAAATATCTGTAGAAATGTTAACACTTGTCCACATCTACATGGCCAATGAGGCAAGGCAAGTTCATTTGTATAGCACATTTTAAACACTGGCAATTCAAAGTGCATTCAAGTGATAATTAATAAACATAAAATAGGGAGAAAAATAAACACAAAAGAAGGTGGACTCCAAAACAGAGAAAGGAAAGACATGGGGGGTCCCTCTCAATATTAAGAACATAATAGATTTTGATTATATTTTAGACATTTACACCTTAAATTGAAGCAGACAAGGCATACACTGGTGCATTAAAAATTCACCAGAATACAGAGAATTGAATATTTTACACTCAAAGTCCCCCCCCCCCCTTCATATGTGTCTGCCATAATGTTGAAACAAAGACTACACCCTTGATTAATTCAGGAAATAAAATGGTTATGAAACTGTGAGGGTCTTAAAATAAGAAATGTTTCCAGTGTCCTGTCCTTTTTATATTAGAATCGTCTTTCTACATACTGTAGTGCAATCTAGTAAATTACAACCACCAACTGCAGCGTTCAATGACCATAAAGATCCAACATATGACGTGAATACAGATGTCCTCTAACTGCAACTGTGCCCCATTGTAAATGTACACAGTATAAGCAGCTGCATCCTCCTCAGAGGCCTTGGCTTTCAGCCTATTGTTAACAACAGTTCAAGTGAACTATTTATGTCCAAACATTCCTACGTAAACTTCTTTCCTGCTTTTAAACAGACTCTTTCTCACTGTCCATTTCTGCACACAGCAGATGTGAGTCACTGCATCGATATTTATCTGTGTGTGACTCATGTCATTAATCACCAGTGGCATGATTGAGGGGTGGGACTTTAAGTGTAGTTTAGCCCATATTTCTGTTTTTTTTTTGTATTTTTTAATTCTCTCCCCAGGACAAACACACCACTGTACAGTGAAGCACAGGGAGAGCATTTTCTTAAGTGGTGATCAGAAGTCACAGGTCTACACACGTGAACACACCTTCCCCTCTCCTAATCCCTGTAAGTGGTTTAGCCTCACACAGCCAGTCAGACCCGAGCTGAAACACAAATACTGTTCACCGTGAAGACGTGATGTAACTGTACATCACATGTATACTATGTATGCGTGCTGTTGTACTGTCACTAAATAAATCATATCATACATAGAACTGGCCTCTGAATTCCAAAGATCCCAATCCAATTGAGCATCCGTGGGACATGCCATTACCTCAACTTGTAACCCACAGGACTCAAAGGATCTGCTGCCAATGCCCTAGTGCCATACATCGCGGGACGCCCCTGAGAGGTCCTGTGTCAATGCTTGAACAGGTCAGAGGCCCCGCAGTAGATCAGACCTGGCTTAGACCTGTCTAGGATTGGACACAGGACCTCTGAGGTACCAGAGGACAGGGTGAATGGTGAATATACAAATGATCATTTTGTGGGTGAAGTGTTCCTTTAATACTAATGCATCAGCGTCTGAGCAGCATTTCCCACTGAAGCTGGTTGAGTAGAGCTAGTTGATCTACTTTAGATGCAGGTCAGTTCAGCTCAATTGTGATTGAGTAGAAATATAAACTAACATGAAATGTCGCTCCAGGAGGCTGTGGAGAGGGTGTCTGCTTGTCCATTATAGCTCAGTGTGCCCCTCTCCACCACAGTTCTTACTGGGTCCAGTCTCCTGCCAAGCACTGAGCCAGCTTTTTTAGCCAGCCTTTTTAGCCAGCCTGTCCAAACGCTTGGAGTTTTTGTTTGTCAAGCTGCCTCCCCTGGACACTGCAGCGTAGAGAAGTGCACTGGCCACCACTGTGTGATAGAACATGGTCAACATCTCCACACACACATCAAAGGACCTCAGTGTCCACAGGAAGAACAGGCGGCTATTAGTAGGGTATTAGCAAAAATGTATATGCTGGGGAAGTACTGAGGATATGAGTGGATAAATGAGACTTGGACTATACTACACTGGTTGAGTGAGAGTTTGTAAACAGATGTTTTGATATAATTTTGCTATTGTTAAACACAAAACCTTTTTACTCCAAGTCATCAAGCATTTTCTCCTTTTTGGATTCTTCATTCACTGTGGAGGCATGCGAGAAAAGCAGAGTTTTATTCACAAATTTCAAGGTAACAGGGTCAGTAACTGATATACAAATTATTATTTTGTGGGTTAAGTATTCCTTTGACAATCTAATTAGACATTTTCCTTTAGTAATAACAACACTACCTAAATAACTCCCCTGGGCCTTATTTCCAAAAGCAGGATTAGTGAAAACTCTGAATATGTTCAGCTCTGAGTTTTCCATTTCACAAAGCCAGTTCAGCCTAACCCTGAGTCAGTTACTATGGCAACATACTCCATGAAGCTAGCCTGCTGGCTGTCAGTTTTGCTTCATCTAAGTCTGAGGCTGATCATCCACTGAACATGTAGCAGGAAGGAGAGACATGGCGTGTCCTTTTGTAAATAAATATGTTGAGGCACAAATAATTCAAAGGCTGTTGCGTCAGGAGATGGTGATTAGACCCCACTTGGATGTGTTATCGTGTCTTATAAAAAAATATTAAAAAGGGGGTACATAGCTGAAAAAAGTATGAGAGGCACTATAGGATACAAGTACCCCTGGTTGGGGAAAAAAGTGGACCAGTACTGTGGAAAGAAAATACCTGAAATAATGTCATGCCCACATACCACAACTTACCTGGCCTTTTGTCAGAGAATACTGTTCACATCATAAATAGCTACACACTAGGGTTGGGTACCATTCATAATTGAACCGATACGGTACCGGTACCGGTATCTGGAATTCGGTACCAAACGGTACCTTATTTCGGTACTTTTTAAAGTCTAAACTTCTCAGTTTCAACATTTTATTGAGAACATTTAGGAACAGTGCTGCACGTTAAGTTTTGTCTGCACATTTTTTTTGTCGCCATCGTTGCCAAGTCTGAGGTGCGAGTCATGCGCTCTTGCTCCACCTCCACCTCAGGTACCGAAATTTGGCACCGATTCATTTTAAGTGAATCGGTACTCAGTAGTACCGATATGAATCGGTACCAAGTACAAAAAGTACAGAGTTTCAGTACCCAACCCTAATACACACCCATGTTCCTCTAAGTGGATACAGGCTTTTCTATAATTGTTAGCTTTTTTTAATTGTGAATATTAAAGTCCTTTTTGTAACAATCTGAGAATGACAAATCCCTTCTGGGTTAAAATGCTCAAAAGTGTTATTCCTACCGAGGCTTTGCGTCAACTTAAATGGTCACAAGTTAAAAGGTTAGGGACTGATTCGTTGTAGTATTTGAGATGTTCATTATGGTGGCATCCATAAACAGTCCTTTCCTCACGGCCTCCATGTTTCTTGCTGGTTAGAGAGAGGAGTGGTGTCCGAGAGTGACAAAGCTCTGGGATTAATACACCATGGAAGGATGACACTGACACTTTGTCTTATGCTCACTTGTGACACAGCAAACACTTGGATGATTTCATTTACTTCTATACATGTGGCTGAGTAGTGCTGTTTAACTGAATCATAATCCAAACAGAAAACTTAAGTCAATCCATATGAAACTGTAGAATTACTGAATTTGGCACCACCCAGTGTTAGTATGATAAGGACACTTTGGCAGACAGTACTGGCTGGCTTGATATATTTGACCCAGACATTCTGAATAGATGAGCTGGATGCAACACATATAGACTGCATTGGTTTTAAGCAGGATTGTCTTATTTCTATGACTAGAATTACCACCTCACAGTTATATGCTGCATGTCTGTCCAGACATTTCATATGTAGCCAGGTGACAGTGCTTCAATTCTAAAACATGGATGCTTCACACACACCCAAAACCCAGCAGCATAGATCTACAAAAACCCAGCACAGTTTCAAGGTGGACACCCAAGATTAGTGTCACTAATTTAGTATGTTGACTAATACCAGAAAAGCGTTTTTGCGGAACATTTAATGTTACGGTAAAGTTGACCTTTTACCTTTTTGGATATACAATATCTAAATCTTAATCATTTCATCCTATTGGACCTTTGTGAGAAGTTTTGCCATAATTGGCAAATAAATCATTCAGTTATGACTAAAAATGTGTTTTTGAGGTCACAGTGACCTTTGACCACCAAAATCTAATCAGTTCATTCTTGAGTCCAAGAGAACATTCGTGCCAAATTTGAGGAATTCCCTCAACGCCTTCTTGAGATATGCCATTCATTAGAATGAGACATATGCAAGGTCACAGTGGCCTTTGACAACCAAAATTTCATCTGTACATTGTTGGGTCCAAGTAGACGTTTGTGCCAAATTTGAAGAAATTCCCTCAAAGCGTCCTTGAGATATCGTGTTCACAAGAGTGGGACAGATGGACAACCGGAAAATAAAGCCTGCGGCCGGCGTGGAGGCATAAGAACATATACTATCAGACTAATATGAAAGATGCTATAATGACATACAAATTCTTCACACAGTGGCTTTAAATGTCTTTACACCATCAGGGTGGGTGTACAGACATACCAACTCATTTTGCAATGTAATTAAAAAAGGAGACAGAATCCAGCAGTTAGAGCATTCATGTTTAACACATCAATAAAGATAAACCATTGTTTCCTTTTGCACAAACAAGGCATAAAATACATGAAGTCAGATTTCAATAATCCATTACATAAACATTCCTCATATTACTCTGCTCTACTTAAACAAAGATTTATCTTTTAAAAATGATAAAGCATCCTGTGAAAAATATGTGTCTAATTTCAAGATGTTGTGGAAAATATATTACTTTACTTTAGTGACTCAAACAGAACCTCATTTATTCCCTACAGAGGCTATGGCGGTGAAATAAAACAGCTGCACAGATGGCCCAATAACTCAAAACAGTTACTTCATAGAGATAATTAGATCTCTCTTAGTGCAATGCAAATAATCAATAAGTTGACAAAGAGTCATCAACAGTCACTGTAGGAGTTCAATACAAAACCTTGTAATGTAAGGCATTGACTGTAAAGTTACATGTAGAGCAGAACTATGGGCAGGAGTCATTACAGTGAGATTACATAAACCTGGCAACCACATTTGCCACTTTTGTTACTTTAACTATTTATCATCAAAAGATTAAGCCTAAAGCTATTCAGTGGTACAACAAATTTAACAGCAAATCTGACAGCATTACAAAAAAATTAAGGAGAAGCTGCACACTGACAGTTTTTGCATTGGCAAATTAACAGACAACCCAACATTGCTCTTTAAAATATGCAATGGACCAATTAATGTAGATAAAATACATATGAACTGTATATAAATAACCTTTTGCAAAACAGAGTTCAAACAAGAACGGGTCTTAGTGTTATAGAGTAGTGTCAATGTAACATTTGAATCAAACAGGAACTAAACATGGGTTGGCCTGACATCAATCAGTCACTTCCACTGAGTAAACATGTAGAGAACCTGCCTTGTTCTCAATACCGGCTGAAAATAAACAAGACTGTGACAGACACTGTCACAACCATCCTGAAACATCATCCAAAAGGACACTTTCAAACTTAAAGTCTCTGCTCCCCCATTTGAGGGACAGAGGAGTGCAGTAGATTGTAGTGTGATATTTTTTTTTTTAACTCAGTGTGCATTTATTCTAATTAGTGTGTATTATTTATACTTAGTGTTAAATCTTTTTACTTAGTGTATATTATTTTTAAGCTCAAGAAAATCAAAGTGTGGGGTTATAAAGCATATTTGAGTGTGTGTGTGTGTGTGTGTGTGTGTGTGTGTGTGTGTGTGTGTGTGTGTGTGTGCATGTCAGTAGATTAGAGCATTGGTGGGGGAAGGACTTGCCAATTATTTCATAGTTAGATGGTCTGGTGACTTGAGAAGAGGACATATCCCCTAGTCCCATTATACAGCAGCTGTTGCTTTGACTGGAGGAAAAGAAGCATTGACTTATCTATTGAAATTACAGTGACTGACATGTTTAGAATTACAGTATGGAATCTGCACTGTAACACTCTCTCTTCCAGATTACATGGAGGAAGAGCAAGCCTTTATCAGAGAGAACCCCAGGTGTGCATTTGCTCCCACCTAAAAAGTCTGCTTCTGAATTTTGTTTCTTAGGGGAACACCTGCTTTGATTGGAAATGAGGGCTGTTTACTTTTACCTTCTGTTAATCATTTACCTTTTCCCTCGTGAAAGACCAGAAGACATTCTGGGTTCTTACATCACAATTTCATCACTAGGTGGCTCCCTGAAGGGGAGACATCAAGGGAGGACATTGTGCTAATGTGGAAGCAATTGCATCATATGCCTGCTGATCTCAACACCAAATACATACAGGACTGGGCAATATACTGATATTATATCAAGATTTTGTATGTTGTAACATGGTAATTTCCTGGTTTTAAAGGCTACATTACGGTAAAGTAATGTTATTCTCTGAACTTACCAGACTGGTCGAGCTGTTCTATTATCTGCCTTTACCCAATACGTCATAACATCCACATTACTGATGGTAACTTATCAAAAATCTATTTTGTAGGTATTTTGTGAAAGCACCGTTAGTCAACCCTACAATAGTCTAAATATCGGTATTGAGGTAACTGGTCAAAAATATTGTGATTTTTGATTTTCTCTTTATCTCCCTGCCCTACATACAGTGATGACAGATTTTGAAAAGAACAATAAAAAAGAGCATGGGGTTGGTCAGACACTGGGGACTACTTTAGTTGAAGATGAGCAACTTAAAAAAAAATAGCTCTGATAGGTGTTGGGAGGTATGGGGGGTATTTAGGACAATTAGCGTTCTTTTGTTTCCATTTCTGCAGGTTAACATCAGAGACCAGTGTTGGGCATGTTTCCTCTGTTGACGCAGGGCTATGCTTGACGACCGTCAGTGATGTGGCTAAGGCCCGGGGGCCCCTCCTTCCTCCATGGTGGCTGGTGGGAGGGGATCCTTGTGGAAAGGAGTCTCCTTGTAAATGAACCAGCAGTTACCTGCCCACAGGATCAAGTTCAAAAAGCCAAATATCTATAAAGGGACAGGAAAACAGATGAGACAATAAGTGATGACAAATAATGTATGCTGTGAAATTTTAAAGCTTAGTGTTAGGTTTTTATTGACATGGTGTTTAAGTTGTGCTGAATATCTAGTACAACTCCTATTCTGAAAAAGTTGGGACGCATAAAGGACGTGTAAAATGTTAATAAAAACAGAATGCAATGATTTGCAAATCCCTTTTGACCTACATTCAATTTAATACAGTTCAAAGACAAGATATTTAATTGTCACACTGATAGCTTGTTTTTTGTAAATATACAGTCATTTTGAATGTAATGCCTGCAACATGAGACTGGGAAAGTTGTTGAATGCTCAAAAAACACCTGTTTGGAACACTCCACAGGTAAACAGGTTAATTGGTAACAGATAACAACATCATGAATGGATATAAAAGGTGCAACCTCACCACTTAGTGGAAATCTCCATGGGCAAACAGTCAAGCAGTTTGAGAACAATGTTTCTCAACACAATTCCAAGAATTTGGGGATTTACAATCCATAATATCATCAAAAGATACAAAAAATCCAGAGAGATCTCTGGATCTAAGGGCAAGGTGGAAAACCAATATTGAATGTCCGTGACCTTTGAACCCCTCAGGCAGCACCTCATCAAAAACCAACATGATTGCACAAAGCATAAAGCACAGAGGCTCAGTAACACTTTGGAAAACAATTGTCAGTATGTAGTTTGTAACAAATATAAGTTTAGACTCTACCATGCAGAGTCAGAAGCCAGATATCAACAACATCTACATCTCTGTCCCTTCAAAAAAAAAAAAAAAAAAAAAAGCCTCCAACCTGAGCTCATCTGAGATGGACTGACACAAAGGTGAAAAGTGTGCTGTGGTCTAACGTGTTCACATTTCAAACTGTTTTTGGAAATCATGTACATTGTGCCCTCCAGGCAAAAAGGGAAAAGGACAATCCAGATTGTGACCAGTGCAAAGTTCAAAGCCAGCATCTTTGATGGTATAGGGGTGTGTTAGTGCCCATGGCATCATGGGTAACTCTCATATCTCTTTTTTTTATTATTATTATTTTTTGGGCTTTTGCCTTTAATTGACAGGAGAGAGTGAAATGGGGGAGTGAGAGAGAGTGGGGGGATGACATGCAGCAAATGGTCGTGAGCCGGAGTCGAATCCGCAACCGCTGCAGCGAGGCATCGCCTCTGTATATTGGGTGCCGGCACTATCCACTACGCTGCTGACACCCCGGTAACTCTCACATCTGTGAATGCTGAAAGGTGCATACAGGTTTTGGTGCAACATATGTTGCCATCCAGACAAATCTTTTTCTGCGCGTGTTACAACAGTCTAGCTTCACAGTAAAAAAGTACGGGTAAGAGACTGGCCTGTCTGCAGTCCAGACCTGTCTCCATCTGAACATGTGTGGCACATTATGAAGCACAAAATGCAGCAATGGGGACCCCAGACTGTTGAGCAATTGAAGTTGTATATCAATCAAGAATGCTCATCAGAAGCCCGTGATAGTGCAATAAGCACAGAACAGATTCAAACAGCCAAGAAAAACTCCCCAAAGTACCCTGTTGTGTCATGTGATGGCTCGCTTTGAAATTAGGAAATCATAGATCTTTAATCGCAGTCAGCGTGCAAAAGTAGAAGTTTTTTGGCTGCAGGAGCAAGGCAACGTGACAGCCCTCCTTGACATCCTATAAAGACCCAGGATGCAGAATTAGTTTATATTTACAAAAACCAAAAACGTTTATCAGTTTGAATATTAAAAATCTTCTGTCGGTGCTGTATTCATTTAAATATGGGTCAAAAAGGATTTGCAATCATTGCATTCTGTTTTTATTTGTTTTACACAGCATCCCAACTTTTTTGGAGCTGCACTACATTCATTACATTCATGATGACGTCTCCTCCCCTTGTGTATTCCAGTTCAGTCATGCCATAAGTTTTAAATGTTTCACCTGCTTACATTACAATGTCTCTCTGTTGCAGTCACACACTGCCTAACACCATCACTGATAGTAACACTAAAAAAAGATGTTTCACAATAAAGACACTGAAATGTGAATACTGGTGACCTTGAAGAAGGGCTTAAAATAGGTTTGACTTGTACATCAACGTATTATTGTCAACAAATGTAGATACCAGGACAAATACAATCATTGCATTGAAATACATATTTTGACTCAAATACTGCATTCAATAATGGAAAATAAAACGCTATTGTACAACTACACTTTCATTTTACAGCACATTTAAATGTGCATTAAACATATTAAACTCTGCTGCAGCAAACTGTGAAGCAATCCCAGAAAAGGAAGGAAGTGTCAGCTTTTATTCTAATAACAACATGGCACTGGCAGTTGTCACGTAGCACAATATGACGATTCATTTTTTAAGTTAATTATACACCAAAGAAAACATACTTAATAAATTACATTCCATGTCTGCCAATACATCCACCTAAATCCTACACACTGGACCTTTACACTAGAGAGCCATTAATTTGCATAATTTGCATTTTAAAGAAGTTTATATTGAATATGTATGACTTTGAGGTGCAATAAACAAAGTTTAATAGGAAGTGAAGCTCAGTTTTCTTGGTTAGTTCAGTTATTTGGATGGAGGATACACTATATGGACAAAAGTATTTGGCCACATCTGTTAGTTATTGAATTCAGGTGTTTCAATCAAACCCGATGTCACAGGTGTATAAAACCAAGCAACTAGGCATGCAGTCTTGCAAACATTTGTGATACAAAAGAAGAGCTCAGTGACTTCATGCATGGTACTGTGATAGGATGCCACCTTTGCAAATAAGACAGTTCATAAAATTTCACCAATGCTGGATATTCCTCAGTCAACTGTAAGTGATATTATTAGAAAGTGGAAGCATTTAGGAACAACAGCAACTCAGCTACAAAGTGGAAGACCACGTAAAATAACAGAGCGAGCTCAACGACTGAAGGTGCATGGTGTGTTAAAGTTGTTAACGCTCTGCTGATTCCATAGCTGAAGAGTTCCAAGCTTCCACTGGCATTAATGTAAGCACAAAAACTGTGCGGCAGGAGCTTCATGGAATGGCCATGGCCGAGCAGCTGCATGCAAGCCTCACATTACCACGTCCAATGCCAAGCATCGAAAGGAGTGGTGTAAGGCACACTGACACTGGACTGTGGAGCAGTGGAAACGTGTCCTGTGGAGAGACGAATCATGCTTCTCTGTTTGGCAGTCAGAGTTTGGTGGAGGAGGGATAATGATATGGGGCTGTTTTTCAGGGTTTGGGCTAGACCCTTATCTCCAGCGAAGGGCAATCTTAATGCTTCAGCAGACCAAGACATTTTGGACAACAACAGTTTGAGGAAGGCCCTTTTCTAGTCCAACATGACTGTGCTCCAGTGCACAAAGCAAGGACTATAAAGAAAATTGATGAGTTCACTGTGGAAGAACTTAATTGGCCTGCACAGAGCCCTGACCTCAACCCCATCCAGCACCTTTGGGATGAGCTGGAATGGAGATTGCGAGCCTGACCTCATAAATGCTCTACAGAATAAATGTGCACAAATTCCCACAAAGACACTAAAAAAAACCTGCAATAAAAAAAGCTGCAAAAGGTGTACCAACTCCATATTAAAATATATGTATTTGAATACAATGTTATTATGATCCTTGTTGGCGTAATGGTCAGGCGTCTGAATATCTGTGTCCATAAAGTGTACATACATCAAGGACAAAATCTGTCCCACTTTGTCTGAAACTGATCTATACATTTGATGATCCTGTTGTTATTTAACTGGAATGGGCAAGCAGGCATGGCATTTTGGCTAGACCTTTTTCACATGGCGGCTGGGTCACGAACTTTCTAATTTTACAGCAAAACAGTAAACACTAAAATATGTTTCTGTAAACCTTTGAGATGAGAAATAGGCAAAGCAGTAACAGAGAGACTCCTCAGCTCCAAATCTTGTTTTTGATTTGGTTTGTTTATGTGCTGTAATGCCATTAGAAACAATACAGTAAGGCAGAGCAATATGATTTTTTTCACAGATTATCTGTCTTATGTAATACTGTGTGGATATAGTGACCGTTTCAGCAAATATGGCTAGAAGCTATTTTTATAAAAGTTACCAACTACAGCTTTTAGAAGGAAATAACAAGACCTGCAGGAGGTGCACTACTTCACCATGACTCACCACAGAGGCATTGAGGCGGCCCATGGAAGGAAACTCTCCTGGCTGACAGACGTCCTTGCATATCTCCACTAGGTGGTTTGGGTTGGTAGCCCATTTGACATCAGTCAGGCCTTTGCCCCAGGCAGAGGAGGACACAAGCCAGAGGAAGGCAAAAGCAGCAGTCACCACCAGGTCCTGGTAGGGAGTACACAGTAAGTATTACATTCACATTAATATCACGAGCATTTGAAGGGTTCTTAGTTACTGTTCCATGTGAACCTTATCTACTACATAAACTGAGTATGTTCTCATTTCAAGATCAAAATATAGTTTATAATTTTTAGGAGTTCTCATTTGTTGAGTATTTTTTCCATTTTGTATTGCTGTATGTTAAGTATATTTTGCAGTTAGCATGAATACACAGTGGAAATACAGGTAGAGACCACTATAGGAAATTAAATTATCTAAGAGGCAACTTCTGTCCCACTGTCTGAAAAATTAGGGCTACTTTTAAAAAGTAGTACTTTATTGCATACAGTTGAAATTTTAAATGTGCAATGAGCCCAGATTAAATAGTATACATTAATCAACACCCTGTGCCAACATGAGCAAATAAAAAGCACATTATTGATGTTCCAAAGGGAAGTGTGCAATCATCTGTATATATTACATCTGTATATAAAGAATACCATTTTTGTGTGTGAGAGAAAGCAGGTATTAATGCTTTTAATTAGCTCTTCATAGCCTTTGTATATGTATATTGTGTTAGTTTGTAGATCAATTGAAAACTTCATAACAGTCTTTCACATAAAGTAGTTTATAGTCTTTTTTAAGCATCCTCTTTGGAAACTGTAGAGGGTCTATCACATTGGATTGGATTGGATCTATTGAGCATGGATGAAATAAAATTAGAGACTTGACTATACAGCACTGCATCATTGGTTATATGTTCTAAATTTGGGAGTTAAAGCTTACTTTAATTGGCGCATTGAGCTCAGTAACATTAGTCAACAGCACTGATGACCCCACTGATTATTCCATCTAGCCACAAGTCCGTGAGAACCAAACGTCAGTTGTAACATTATCATTAGCAAGCCAACATTTACTGCCAACTTACTGACACCTATAGGAAATGCCTAGTTTACACACAACTTTAGTCTGGATTTTTGCTCGCCAACAGTTAATAGAGTTTCCTGACAAAGGCCCCAGATCAGAGGCAGCTCAACAAGCTAATTTTGATTGTGTGACTTCGTTTAAAGACTTAGTTTGGATTAACCAAAGTCACAAAATTACACAATCTACAGTTCGAGACATATAGATGTATAAATAAATATAAATAATAATAATAAAATAAGACTCAAAATAAATTAAGGGTTAGGGCTTTTTATGTAAGTTATGTTCATCAATTAGGCTGAACAGGTTCATTGCATTTTTATTCTTCATGAGTTTAAGGGCTTTCAGATAAGAAAAAAACTCATTAGAAAACACACTTAACCGAGGCTTCACCTTCACAATTTGGATTTGTGTAGATAAAACTTTCCAAGAATGAAATTGTTCTTGACCAGAAAGTCATCATTGCTATTGTCAATGATGAGTCCATAAACAATGTCCTTTCAAGAAAAGTTTTCAAGTTAAAAACTTTTGGGTACTGTGCATGTGTCATGTGCATGAAACCATAAAGCCACTGGAAAAATGAGTCTGTTTGGAAAGTACTGAGTATATATTTGGACAAATGAGACTTGGATTATACTGCATGAGTTGTGTGGGAGTTTGAAAACAAATTGTGTTGATATGCTTTTGCTGTTTTGTTCACATTAGGGCTGGGCGATAAATCGATTTTATCAATTAATTCAAATTTGTAGTTTAGGTCGATTTGTTTTAATGAAAATCGAGTTTCTCTTTAAAATCCGCCACCGACTCTCCCCGCTGGGATTCCATAGCTCAGAATGGGCTCACCCCTCCCCCCCGCGCGCTTTTTACACAAACAACATGGCAGCGAGCTGGGAAGAACTAGTTCCCAAGAAAGGGAACGAGTTCTTCAGCGCTTTGTGTGCTCACCTGTGTCTGTGCATGTGTGCACACGTCTGTGTGCACACATGCACAGACACAGGTGAGCGTGCACGCACATCGGGGCCGAACTCCACTGTGCGCGACACAGAGAGCAGAGGAGGATTGTAAACGTGCACCACGTAGAGACAGAAATGACATGCCGCTGTGTAAATAAGATAAATAACATAAGGCTATTTAGTTTGTTTCATAAAAGGACAGGTATAGACCTGTTCTATAGGAAAGGTAACCTTAAATGACTTCTGTTGTGATCTGGCGCTATATAGAAAATAAAATTAAATAAAATTAACGATTCGAAATTCGATTTAAATCGTGAATCGGATTTGTTGTGAAAAAAATCAGAGATTTGTTTTTAGGCCATATCACCCAGCCCTAGCTCACATGCATGCAAGAAAAACAAAGTTTTCTTCAGAATGCGTAACACAGGGTAAGCAATATATAATAGAGATATACAAATGGTCATTTAGAAAGTGTAGTACTCTTTTAAAATAACACACTCCCACCAACACAGCCCCCTGCGTTGTTCTGACATGACTGATTTCTGTCAGAATGCCCGAGATGTAAAAAGCTACCACATCTCTACTCTTAACCTAAGTTTGAGGGCATGAATGGGGTGAGTAGGTAAGAGCTCATTGATGACTAGAGATTGTGTACTCACTACAATGGGACCACGGGTGGTCTGGCGGTAGACATTCTGGTAGCCCAGGTAGAGGATCAGTGTGGCGGTGCAATAAAGGAACCCAAACACACCGACACACACAAAGAACTCTGCCGAGGAGGAGAAGTCGCCCTGCAGGAAGGTCTCATTGGATGTACTACCGTTACAAGTCGGTATCTTATATGGGTACGCCGGCAACCTGAAGGGAGGGAGAGAGGAAGAAGGTACTTTCAACACTCACTATGGTGACGTGTTTTTATTCTCTTGTTGTGTGATTTCAGTGAAAACAAGTCCTCACCTGGGTTACTCTTCTATCCAAGGAATGCAAGAAGAGAGGATATGAAAGGGTTAAGTGAGATTTTACAAAGACTGTGTGCCCAAAAAACCCCAAATACTTAATAGTTTTTTTTTCTAATAAACTATTACTATAAACATAAGAAGCCCTTTGCTGATATCAGAATATCACAATGTCAGTTTACTTATTGACCCTTTTAGATACTGACCCTTTGCTAAATCCCTCCCCTCGAACGCAGAGTGGCCAATCACAGCATAGCCTCACACAGCTCTGTAGTCCAACAACTACATGGCTGTGCTCCACAGACTCTCATGCATTCGTTTCAGATTTTCTTCATTTTCACGCTGGTTTTGTGGATTTCGAGCAAAACGTTGTGTCTGGGGCGTGTGGATTAATGATACTAGTTACCTGGAGAGGTTGGATTCATCTACACAAAATGCTAAAACCTGCAAAGTTTCCCTTTAAATGCACTGACACACTAAGCTGTTGGTTGGTCGTCAGTGAGCACCCGTGGCTCGTCATTGTGGTGTGTCCCGCACTGTTGGCCCTTGTTGGCGCTAAGCGACACTAGTTGGTACTAGTTGGGTTATTTTCCACCAATTCAGCATGTTGAATTGGCGTCAGCGACTGCGAAGCCCATCAGTGAATGAAATAACTCTGAGTGGCAGTTCAGCTCAGTGCACGAGAAGAGAAACAGTAGTGAGGAGAGTAAACAAAGAACTTGAGTTGAGAGGGAGTGAGACCAAGACAACCATGTTATAAGGTGAGATTATTTTTCTTTAACCATTGAGCTCTTTAGCAGATATGTTTCCTGATGGTTTGTGTTATTGTTCACTGGCTCACGGTAAATATGCTCTGTTCTTTCAACATTGGATTGTGTTGTTAATGTGCTAACAGGCTAACTAGCGTCAAGATGGTCTTCCAGTTTCCCTTTCTGAAAGATGATCACAGACTACCGCCATTTGATGATGTGCAGATTTGTTTCCTCTCACTTGGACACAGAACGTTCGTGTTGGCTAGCCGTCGGCTGTAGTCTTTGCTGTGGGTTCAAGTGCAAATTGTTGGCCGAAACACAGATGTGAGGCAACACAACCATCAGTTTTTGTCGCCGCTAGTTCTTTGAAGTCAGTTTGGTGTGTCTGGGCCTTTATATTCATTGTCTTCTGTCTCAATTCCAATTGTGTAAGACTGTATACGGTGATATTTTCTGATACTGTTACAGAATAAGAAAAATTCAACGCAACCCTAATTATATTGAGTAATTATATTAATATTAATTATATTAAGTATTACTTCCTGCTTCAATGAAACTGCACTGGACTGGATCTGCAATTAGGACTCTGTCAGAAAAAATACATACTCGAGTACGCTGCCACAGAGGGAAACAGAATTTTTTGTCTCTTTCTTTCTTTCTTTCTCTTTTTTTCTCTGTCTGTGTCTCTGTCTTGACCCCTAAAGTTCTTTAATATATAAAAACAAACGCAATTTTACCGTTAGAGCCCATGAAAGGGCGAAAACCTTTGTCTTGTCTCAAAAGCAGCAGCTGCACCCTCTGTTTCTTCATATGATGCTCTCAGCTCTGTTTGCTCATGCACAATTCAACACTGCACACACCATTTCGACTCCTGTCGCCCAGTGTGATCTCCACTAACAACCCTATCATATTGACTTTTAATGCAGTTGTATGGTGGTTATATGAATGTATCATGTTACCGTTTAATAAGTGTGTGGTCAAATTTTATCATCACAAGGAAGCTGAAAACATCAGTGTGACTGAATCTTTTTCCCTCTAAATAATAAAGATATAATTGAATTTACATTATCAGAACACAGTTTATTCCACTGAACAACATTCATACTGGCCTGCATGCATTTGACATATTGCATCTATTGCCATTTGAAAAATATTGTGATATTAATCTAATTAATTTTTACCTGTATGGCTCAGTCCTATTAGTGGATCTAAATGCAGCTGCCCAGCAATTACTATTTGTGCTGGTTACCCAGTAACACTTAGACTCACAATCAAATCATATGCTTCTGCACTCATCTGGCAACATAAACATAGAGACATGTCATTGCAACATCAGTTTTGTGTATCCAGCTATACTGAGACACAAAATAAGCAAAGAGAGAAGCAGCAGAGAGAATGGAGGATTAACCTGCCAAGACCAAGTGGAGTACCATACTTTTCTCCAGATGATGGCAGTAATTCACAACTGTGTTGTTTCAAGTTTTTGTCCTGACACAGTTCATAGCTGTATTTCCACTGCTCCCACACCTGATTGTCTGCTGCGTTCACTCCTAATGTGCAGCATGTTTTTTTATTTGTTTGTTTTCTCTCTTCTCTTCCATTGTTATTATATAATTTTATTCTATTTATTCAAAAATCCTTTTCATTATTATTTTTAAATTTATTTATATTTGTGTGAATTCATTTATTTACTTTTTTAATTTACTTAATGTTTCCTTTTATTATGGGTTACATTATTATTTATATGATACATATTTCAAATCACTATCTCACACTTATGTATATTATTCCTTTGCCTATCTTTTTAAATTAAGCAGCAACTGTTTTCAATAAAACAAATCTTGACAAAAAAAAAGGAGAAAGATAAATAGCAAAGGTTTTTATGACTCTTGTGTTCTACAGTACCTGAACGGGTAGCCAAACACAGCTGATACATCCAGCGTATCCTTGCCTGGGCAGGGGACTTTCAAGTGGGTTGTGCCAGAGTAACCTCCTGTGGTGGCAAAGGCAAAGATGGTGAAGACCTGTGGAGGCAGAAAAACATGCGAGGGTAAGAGGTTTTAAAAAAGAGGTGAGTTTCTTTGACTGACAGGTGTCTCAAGCCATCAGGCTTTTGGTTTTAAAGGAAATCAAACCTGATTCTGCTGCTGTAATTCTAATTTAATAAAAATAATAACCTTAATAAATTAATAAAATCTTAATTAAACTATCTGCTGAAATCAAACTACAGCCAAATTATTGACCAGTGACCATTCTCCACCTGACACTATGAATAACTGCCATCACTGACTGCTGTCCATGTTTACAAGCTGTGTAATCTTTCAAACTGTACTGCCTTTTAGGATCAGAGGTACGCTTCTACATTTAAGTCAATTAGTGCGTTTGCATGCACAATTAAGTCGAGTTACGATTATAGCTCGACTAGGCCATTTAATTAGACAACTGGCCTTGTCCCAGTATCGGAGCACAGGAGGGGAATTGATTTTTTGACCTACGATAGGTGGTGATATACGCCCTTTCAGCTTGTTAGTATTGGACCTTTTTCCAGTTGACCTATTATGTCACAGACCAAACAATCGACCAAGAAGTTAGCTACAGTTAGCCAGTGGCAAACTGGTGTCATGGTGGATAACTTTATAGCTCTGTGCATTTTGTCTGTTCTAAAATGCACTGCTCTGGATGTAGATTTCATCATGTTGTTACAGGCTTCTTCTTCTGTTAGTTATTAAATGTTATCCGACTTCCGGGTCAAAGCTGAGGCAGAAACTGTTGAGCATGCACAGGGCGCCTTGGTCAGTTTTAGTCTGACTGACTCTATACATGCAGGAGAAATTAGACTCCAAATCACATAATCTGGGTGTGTTAGTCCGACTCTGAGAAATTCGATTTAGTACGATTTCAGTCTAAGGTGTTTACATGTATTTTAAAAATCCAGTTTTAGTCGATGTCATGTAAATGTACTGACTATGAAATTGATAGAATTATGCCTGTTCCCTTCCCATAAGTAACGTATGTGATTTTCACCTCCTGAATTAACTTCCTCACTTCACTATCACTCTCCTCCCTGCAGTTGTCACATCCTTTTTCCACACAGGAAACTCCCTCCCTCTCCACTGCTCAGAGAACTCAAAGCAAAAATGGCAAACCCTCGAACATGAAGCTGACAAAACAATGTTTCAGCTTCAGCCAGTCAAGCTCTTACAAATAGCTATCATGTAACTGGATTCCACTTTCACTGAAGAGTCAATGATATGCTGGTAATCTTATGGAGCCTGTTAAAGGATAAGGAAGGTGATTTTCTACTTTTTCTCATCCAATGAAAAGACACAAACCTACAATGAATGCATTGAAACTAATTTCTTTCCTCCTGATTCAATAACAGTTCAGAAATTACACTGTCCAGTTGTTTTATATCCTGTGGTGCTTGAGTCAGATGGGGGGTCAGATGCAACTTTTTTGGTTTATGGGTCAAATGTGCAATAGTAGGACATTACGTGCAATATCATGGATATGATTATGAACATTCTGAATTAATCATACACACTTACTGTACTCCAAATTGATATTGTTTTGCATATACTGATTGGCACCTTACTGATTCTTTAGTGTGGCTAATAAACAAAGCACAAAACGCACTAGTTGTATCTCACATATCATTTATATTTGC